TAATGGGTTTTAATTTTTTAAATATTTCCTTCTGGAATTTTTATCCTTTAATCAAACTTTCAGCCTCGTGTGGCTGTGAAGTGTCAGTCACCAGCTCAGGGCTGGTGTAGGTGAATTTTCCATCTTTTGTGCCCTATTGTCTGGGGTCAGGTGAACCTTGACAAAATCTGTGGCTCTTGATGGGCCATCCTGTATCAAATGGGATTTTTACCTGCTGCCAGCCCTCAGCCTCTGCAAACTGGATCTTAACCCCCTCACACTCAGCATCTCACCCACTCTGTGAAGAGACTCAGTCCTCTTGTCTACACCCAAAGAAATCCCACAGCCTTATCAGGTTTCCTGTTTCCCTGGCCAGTCTTTCAGCTGATAAAGTGTTTCAGGTTATCAGTTTATCCTAAGGATGAAAATTTTATCCTAAAGATGAAATAAAGGAGAATAAGCTTGGACCTTTTTTTTTTTTCCTGTTATTATTTTTTTCTGTCTGTCCCAAAGTTTCCAGGGGCAGAAATGGTCACAAAACCCTTGGAGCACCTCATATTGCATGTTCAGATGCACCAGAGGCCCCATGTGTCCTGGGAAATGGGAGTTTTGGACAAATATATAAATTATTTTGAGGAAGAAATCACTTTTACCTTCGGTTCCAAGTGCCAAGATCTCTGCTGATCACAAAGGTTGCTGCTGAGGAGAGGAGACACAGCCCTTTCTCCTTCAGAAATTGGGAGTCATCCCACAAGAGGGAGAAGTCTGTACCACCTCTTTTCTCTTGCATCACCTTCCAGTCCTACAAACACCCATGCAAAGCCTTTTTCTGTATTTGCAAGGCCCCAGGGCTGGAAAGTTCCTTTATTCCCTGCAGGATTTCAGGGAAACAGAGCTGATTTTTGCCCTGTGGCCCTTTAGGACACAAACATCCCAGCCTCCAGTATTGCTGGGGTGTTTGTGGGGTGTTCTGAGCCACCCTACACTGGATCAGCCCATGTCCCCTTGCAGAATACCTGGAGTGATTGGGTTATGCCACAGGAGATGGGGCAGGGAAGGGGACACTGAGGAAATCCTCATCTGTTCTCCTGTTCTCGTTGATCCCCAAGGTCACAGACTGCTGAGAAGGCTTTTGGTGAGGGTGAGCAGGACAACCACAGGACCCCAAAGCCTCAATGGCTGCAGCGGTTGCTCTGTGGGCACCCCAGGAATGGGATTTTGGGGTGCAAGGGGAAGGTGGTGCTGTTTGTCTCCTGTGTCACATCTCCACAGGACAGATGGGACTGATGGGGTTATTGTGCCCCCTACAAAAAAACTGGGATTCAATTTGTGGAGGAGGGAGGCACTGGATTAAGCCATGAGCACTCCCTTAATCTTTGCCACCACTCTGCTTTGAAAACCCCAAAGCCTTTTCTTTTCCTGGCTGGCATTTTGGTGTCAGGGTTTTTGTGGCTGCCAGAAGCAGCTGTGGGTGCCAGGGGTGTGTCACGACCTCTCTCCAGGGAGCTCTGGCTGCCAGCCTCTCCCGGCTGTCCCCTCCCGGGAGAGAATGAACCTCACAGCACACAGAAATGATCTTATCTGCCCATCTTTACTTCAAAGCACTGAGCATCGTCTCTGCCACGCCGTGGACACAGCGCCGGGAGCTCCACGGCTGCGGGGCTGGGCTCCTCCAGGGTCATTTCCCCTTTTTGGGAGAGGGGATGCAGCAGTGCAGCTCCTCGCAGTAGGGGTTGAAGGACCACTCCTCAGTTTCGCCGCACGCGTGGGCGCAGTACCCGTCACAAAAGCCCTTGGGCTGCCCATGCCCTGCAGGGAGGAGGCAGAGGGGGGTTATGGAGAAAATCATGGATATGTAGGAGGGCAGAGCCCCGGGAGTTGTCTCCTTGCTGGTTCCAGGGTGGTACTGTGATGGTTCTCCCCTCTCAGCCCCTAAATTATCAGGCTAGCCCAGAGATCCGAGACCTTGAGGGACGTCAGGAGATGGGCAAAGATTTCCAAAAAGAGGGTCTCACCCCGATGTAGTTGTCCAGCTCCTTTTATTGCAGGGTCCGAGGGCAGAGCAGGGGAAAAGAGAGCGAACAGGAAGGGTCAGGGTGTATCTAGGCTCTGGACAGGGAGGGATTCTCTGGCTCCCTGCCAGCCCCGTCAGGGCAGGAAGGAGGGGACCAGGTTTATCTGGTCAGAGTCACAAGGGTCCAGAGAATGGGGAAACGTGGCCTGAGCACACTGTGACACCACTGATGCTCTGGGGTTAGGCCCACCCAGGACAAGATGCATTTCATGTCCCCACTGAGCTGGAGGAAACTGAACACTTACAAACCATCCCTCTCCTCATGTTGGATGCCTCTGCCTGAGGGTGGGAGGTGGGATTTGCAGGGTGGCATTCACCCCATCCCAATCCCATTGTACCTGCCGGGCTGGGTGAATCCCAGGGACCCGACCCCCACCGCCCCAGAGACGAGCCCCCTGCCTCCTGCGGAGGACACAGGCCACCCCGATTTCTGCACCTCCAACCTTCCTGTCTTACCTGGGGTGGCCAGGGAGAGAAGCAGGAGCACAGCAAAGACCACGCAGAGCACCCTCATGGCTGGAGGCCAGGGGGGATCTCGGCCCACAGGATCCGAGGTGTGCGCAGTGTCCGAGGGCAGAGGTTTTATAGAGGGACTCCGGCCACCAGCAGCACGGCCAGAGGAGAGCCTTGGGCAAAGCCATCTGCAGAGGGCTGTTGTTTGCTCTGCAGGCTGTGCAGTGTCACCCTGCCCTGCTGGGCCCTCTCACAAAGGCACCTGGCAGCCCGGCCCGTGCTCCACGGGCACGTGGGGCCGTTCCCACTCTCCAGATCCGGCTGCCCGCAGCACAGCTGCTCCCAGGGCAGCTGGAATTCAGCCTGGCACGGCTCCTGATAAGCTCTGGGTGATGTCTGCAAGGCACAGGCACAATGGGGTATCAGATCCACGGAGGGGAATGGTTTTATGGAGCATCCAACCCTGACCAGTGCTCTGGCACTGAGGATTAAACAGTCATGGAACAAAATCCCAGAAGAGTTTGGATTGGAAGGGACCTTAAAGCTCATCCAGTCCCACCCCCTGTCATGGGCAGGGACACCTTCCACTATCCCAGGTTGCTCCAAGCCCCATCTTCAACCTGGCCTTGGACACCTCCAGGGATCCAGGGGCAGTCACAGCTTCTCTGGGCACCCTGTGCCAGGGCCTCACCACCCTCACAGCCAGGAATTCCTTCTCAATATCCCATCTACATCTTTCCTCCTTCAACTTTAAGACATTGCCCCTTCTCCTATCCCTCCATCCCTTGTCCCAAGTCCCTCTCCAGCTCTCCTGGAACCCCTTTAGGCACTGGAAGGGGCTCTGAGGTTTCCCTGGATTCTTCTCTTCTCCGGGTGAACACTCCCAGCTTTCCCAGCCTGGCTCCAGAGCAGAGGGGCTCCAGTTTTGTGACCAATTTCTTGGATCCCCTCTAGACTCAGTCCAACAGCTCCACATCTTTCTTATTGAATCAAAGAATCATGAAGGTGGGGAAATACCTCTGAGATCCTCGAGTGCCATGAACCTGGCACCACTGTGTTCACCACACGTCCCTCATGTCATATCCACATCCGTTTGGGACATTTCCAGGGATGGGGACACCACCACAGCCCTGGGCAGCTGTGCCAGTGCCTGATCACTTTTTCAGTGAAGAAACCTTCCCTAATATCCCATCTAAACCTCCCCTGGTGCAGCTTGAGGCTGTTCCCTCTCATCCTGTCCCTGTTCCCTGGGAGCAGAGCCTGACCCCCCTGGCTGTCCCCTCCTGTCAGGAGTTTTGTAGAGCCACAAGGTCCCCCCTGAGCCTCCTCTCCTCCAGGCTGAGCCCCTTTCCAGCTCCCTCAGCTGCTCCTGGTGCTCCAGACCCTTCCCCACACTGTTTCCATCTCTGGATGCTCCAGCTGGGGGATGCCCAGGGCATGGGGAGTTCAGGGGTGGGTCATGTCCAGCTCTCACCCCCCAGCATCCCCAAGTCCTTCTCCCAGAGCTGTTCCACCCCTTCATCCCCAGCCTGGATTGATCCTGAGGACTGCCCCAACCCCTGCACTTGGTCTCATTTTCATCACATTGATTTGGCCCAAGCTTTTTGGGGGTATTTTTTCTGAAATCTTTCCGAAAGGACCATGATGCTGATTAAAAGGGATATAGGCAAATATGTAAATTAAGCTAAGGAAATGAATTGCCACGCCAGATCTGATCAGAAGTCACTTGTGGTTCCAGTGCTATCCTGCCTAGTAATTTCCATGACTTTCTGGAAAGAATGCTGTGGGACTCAGATTCAGTCAAAGGAAGAAACTGAGAGTTTCTAGCCAGTCAGAGGCCTGGGGAAGAGCTGGAAAAGAATGTAAATAATTCTTTATCTCTCTTGTTTTTCACATTGTTTATAGTTAAGTTCTATCACTGTGCGTCAAGCACTCTGCACCAATAGTGGTGGGTTGTTTTCACTTCAGAACCAATGGATTTGGTCCTTGTGGAGCTCTGTATAAAAGAGCGGTGCATTTTCAATAAACAGGAGTTTACTCTCAACAGCCTTCTGAGTCAGAGCCTCTCATTCCCATCCTGCCTCAACAGCGACAGATTGCTTCAAAAATTCACAAATAAGAGGTTGAAAAGGACTGCAAAACATTCGGGGACAGGATTAGAAACCCAGTGGATCTCCTCCTGCCAAAACCATAATGAAAAAAAAACAACATTAAGTAATAGTGGAAGCTCCCTTGTCTATACAGACAAGGATAATGATCTGGAGGACACAGAACAAGGAGTTTCTGGCTGTGGGCAGCTCTGCAGGGATCATTTGTGTGGCAGTAGATCACAGGCAGGCACCCAAGAGCAGAGTCAGGGCGTTGGAAAAGCAGCACCCATTGTCCTACAAGTGCAAACAAAAGCTGAGTCTGGAAAACACAGGCTGTACCCATGGCACAACCCTCGGGAAGTGCATCCATCCTGATGTGTGCTCCAGGGAGAGGAGGAAGGGGCTCAGGGGGCTCAGAAAATGGCTCAAGGTCACCAAGATGAACCAGGGTAGTGCCCATCCCCTGTGCTGGCACTGCTGGGGCACCTCCAGTGCTGGGGACAGCTCCAAGACCCTCACAAGGACATTGAGTGTGTCCAGGGATGGAAAAAGAGCTGGGGAAGGGGCTGGAGCACCAGGAGGGGCTGAGGGAGCTGGAAAGGGGCTCAGCCTGGAGAAAAGGAGGCTCAGAGGGGACCTTGTGGCTCTGCACAACTCCTGACAGCAGGGGACAGCCAGAGGGGTCAGGCTCTGCTCCCAGGGAAAAGAGACAGGATGAGAGGGAACAGCCTCAAGCTGCACCAGGGGAGGTTTAGAGGGATATTAGGGAAAGTTTCTTCACTGAAAAAGTGATCAGGCACTGGCACAGCTTCCCTGGGCTGTGGTGGAGTCCCCATCCTTGGAGGGATTTAAAAGCTTTTTGGGCATGGCAGCTGGGGACATGGGCCAGTGGTGGCCTTGGCAGTGCTGGAGAATGGTTGGACTGGATCTCAGAGGTCTTTTCCCACCTAAATGATTCTGAGATTTTGTGGTTTAGATGTGTCCTGCTAGAAAAAAAAAAAAAAATAGAGTGGAGTGGTTATGATCAGGAAAGAGAAGACATGGAAAACATGGCAGCCCTCAATTCCAGGAAAGAGGATCTGTTGGTGGCCAGGATGAGAAGTTGGTGATACAAACTTTGGCAAATTCTCCAAGGAGATTTTGCACTTAATTTTTATTTTTTACCTTCTACATTAATTTATAAATTATAAATTGCCTTTTCAATACATTTGTCCTTTCAGTGCATTTTAACTTCTTGCATTTCTTGTTCAAGTTCCACATTTCAGCGATCCTCAGTGTGAAAGAGGACTTTTTTTCACTTTTATGATAAATACATGATTTACCTTCATATCCCACCTATTTCTTGGGTTAGGAAAATTGCAGAACTGTACTTCTCTCCTGCTTAGGCTTCTGAAATGTTTTCAGCTTGTGATACACCTTCACTGTTTCTAGCCTGAGCTGACAAGTTCCACTATATTTAATTTTGTGAAAACAAGGCTCCAATTCTGCCAGCTTTCTTTAACTTCTCCTTTTCCTACTGAAGGCCATCAGGGATAGGGAGATGAGCAGTGCACATCCCACAGGGCGATGCAGGATGCTCAAACCTCCTTCCCAACTGCTTTAGGTAATTCAGACCCCCCCCCCCATTTGCACAGATTATAGATTTTCCTAAATTCTCACTGATTCAGCATTTGTCATTTCGCTGCCTTGTTATGTTGTAAATTTAATCTGCTGCACTCTGAGGATTCAAGTTTGAAGATGCTGGGTAATTCTGAAGCAGCTTCTTGCCCCTTCAGCCTCTTTCTCTTCCTGGCTGTTTATCAAATTATTAAACAGCCCAGTGAGCTGGGGCTGGAAAAGTTCCCTGGTGGAGTTTGGCTCTTGTTAGAAAGCTCAGGACTGTCTGGAGGGTCTGTGGGGATGATCAAAGTGTCTCCTCCAGGCTCCCTGGAGCTGCCAGCCCCACAAGTCCCACCCATCCATCCATCAGAGAGGACAGCCAAAGGCACCTCCCTGAACATTCACTGAATTTATCAGGGAGATTTTGCAGACACGGTTCAGAGGTGGGAGCAGGGATCTTTTCCAGGCCATCAGTCCCACATGGTGATCAGCCTGGACAATGCAGGGAGAGTTATCAGTGCATGGTGGCCCTGCTGCATCCCTCTGCATCCCTGCCAGAGGCTGGGAAAGGCCTGGAGTTCTGTGATACTGATCTTGCTCTCCCCTCCCCGCTGCACCCGCAGGTCTCCATCAGGTCCCTCTGACCCACAGCCCCGTCCCAAGGACCCAGATATCGACATCCCCTATTCCTTTGTGTTCCCATCCATGCTGGGATCCTATCTGATGTTGGGTAACCTCACCTGGGGCAGACAGGAGGTGCCTGCCAGCACAATTGGGGAATTCTTGTGCCATCACTGCACGCCCAGCCCCAAGCAGCACGACTTGGATGAATTCCTCTGCTCACAGGGAAATTCTCTATAAAACCCAGCAGCTCCTGCCTGCCTGTACATCACCTCCTCCCTCTGAGGTCTTCAGCTCTCCTCTCTCCAGCCTCGCTGAGATCCCAGCTCAACTCCAGCCATGAAGTTCCTCTACCTTGTCTTCGCTCTTTTCCTCCTCTTCTCCCTGGCCACTCCAGGTAAGATGGGAAATGGGATGGGATGAGCTTTATACTAGTTGGGTTTCTTTTAAAATAACTTTAGCTCAGTTCTTACCCTCTGTGGTGGCTGCTATAAACTGGGTAGGTACTTCAGTGATTTCTTTCAAGGGACAATAAAATGAGAACTAACTCAGGGAGATTTGTGCAGGAATAACTGAGGTTAAAACATAAGTTTCCAGTTTAGGAGAGAGCCAAGGATATACAATTCCAAACAACAGTCTGGATGTGGCCACTTCTCCCAGGGACTTGGAGAATTTCATAATGCTGGTGGAGGGCTTTTCAGGCAGCTCAGTGTCTCTGTCAAAGCTCAGTCCTGGCTGTGTTTAATGGCTT